TTTCGAAGCACTGTCCTGTTTCATTTCGTCAAAACTGTTTTGCTGTTTTGATGCTGTTTCACCATTTCACCCATAGGTTATAATGGGGAATCATAAAATGTGGCAGGCAGGCACATCGGGGGGCTCACCTGCACCCCTGGGGGGGCTGTGCTGGACTCCTCCCAGTGGTGCAGGCCCCCAATCTGCCTGCCAGATGACAGACCAGCACTGGGTGCAGCCCACACCCAACACCAGAAAGATCGGTGCTGCCACTGGCCCCAGGCAGCAAGACTTGCCATTCAGCAGGCAGATTGGGGACCCACACCACTGGGACGACTCTGGCACAACCCCCACACCCCTCCCAGGGGTGCCAGCAGGCCCCCGATCTGCGTACGGGATTACAGGAGACAGGTACTGCTGCCTGGGGCCAGCAGCAGCACTGATCTTCCTGGTACCAGTCCCAGCTAGCAGCACCTGCCTCCTGTCATCTGGAAGGCAGATCAAGGGCTCAGCTGCACCGCCGGGAGGGCTGTGCCAGACTCCTCCCAGGGGTGCAGGCCCCTGATCTGCCTGCCAGATTTCGGATTAGTCTTGAGCGCAGCCTGCACCCAGTGCAGGGAAGATTGGTGCTGTCACCGGCCCCAGGTGGCAGCACCCGCCTCCTGTAATCCCGCGCACAGATCAGGGGCCCACCAGCACCTCCGGGAGGGCTGTAGGGGCTGTCAGAGTCCTCTCGGGGGTGCGGGCCCCTGATCTGCCTGCCAGATGACAGGAGGTGGGCAGCTGTCTGGGTCCAGCAGCAGCACCGATCATCCCGGCACTGGGTGCAGCTGCATCCAGTGCCAGTCTGTCATCTGGTAGGCAGATTGGGGGCCCACAGCCCTAGGAGGAGTCCAGCACAGCCACTGCAGCCCTTGCAGAGGTGCGGGCAAGCCCCTGATCTGCCTGCTGGATGATAGGAGGTGGGTGCTGCCGGTACTGAAGCCAGTAAGCCTGGCTTCAAAACTCGAAACATTGTGGAACTTTTGAAATGTTTCGAGTTCCCTTGTTTTGTTTCAAAGCTGTTTCAAAGGCATTTGTTTCATTTCGATTTTGCTGTTTCAAGCTTGAAACACACTGAAACAGCTTTAAAACGAAATGCCCAGTGAAATTTTGCACTGCCTTATTAGTCAGTATACTGATGTTTAGTCACTGTGAAGTGTTGTTGACACATCTGAATTTATAAAGGCTGTGGGAGGGGGGAGGAGGGTGGGAGGATTGCCTCTGTTTTGTTGCAAAACCCAGAATTGTAATGCTTATCTGCATTCCTAAGGACAGTTTTTCTTAAAAGCAAAGCGGTATATAATGTTAATTAATACATTTTAAATTGCCTAATTTGGACTGCCCTAGTCTGCATTACCTTTAATCCTCATTCAATAAGAATTAGTTCATTTGGAATGGAGCCAATTTTAATTCAGACTATTGATGTCCACATGTGCATAGTGACGGCTGTAGTTTGGATTAAACTTAGAAAAATGTAACATCTATAAACAGCCTTTGTTTCCCCTGTTCTCCCCTGTAGTTGTAGTTTTGGGGTTTTATTTTTAAACTAAAAATCTTAAGTGTTTCAGGGGATGTTCTGGGGTTGTCACTGTGGTGGATGAAAGGGGCTAAAGTAAGTATCATCATGGACCTTTTTGGAAAAACATTTATCATGTGGCTGCTGGAAATTGTAAAAGACTGGAATCACTGACTGGACACTAGCCCTGTGTTCCTAAGGTAGCAGAAAACTGCTCCTTATTGTTGCTAGATACATAACTTGCACATAGCCTGAAGACATAGATTCCTCCCATTTTCCTATTTCATTGCCATTGTGATTTGGTAATACAGTAAAGTTCCCATTTAACCAAGCCCCTCTTTTCTTCCTCAGGTTGTATAGAAATGTGGCAGTGCAATCAAACAAAGGCAAAAGTCAGCTTAAAGAAAGGATAGATAGGGTAAATAAAACCAATAAAACTAAATCCATTTACCCAAAGTGAGATATTTAGACACAGAATATAAGGACAGGCTGTGAAGATGAGTACTATATTAACTTGATTATTTTCAAAGAGCAGTTGCAAACTGCAGTTGCAGGTACAGAAATAAAATGCAGAAGTTATACAGATTTTATGAGCCTATACTAGTTATGTTGCTGTTTATATGCAACTCACTAAATGCAGTGTTCTTACTCATAGAATCTGTATTATATCTAGGAGGCATATTTTTTTAAAGGCAATACAGTATTCTGAGACACGTAAACGATTTATTCTTAAGGGATAAGAATTTTTACCAGCAATCATCTGTTTGTACAGGTGATGTTCCTATAGTCAATTTAAGGCACAGGCTGGATTCTCACATGGAGCAAATTGGCGTGAATCTGCTGAAGTCAACAGCTGCACTGATTTATGGCAGTTAATAATCTGTCTCATAATATATTTAAGTTTTTTCCCCCTAAATAAAAGAGATATGAAATATTCTCTGGAGTTCTTTTCTTTAGCAACATTTGTTTTCTTTTCCACTTATGCCAGTGAATTGATAATCCCACAGAAAGCCTTTATAAACATTTCTATGCTAAACTCAAGTAACAATGTAGGAATTACTATTCCAGATCAAACTAGTGGTCCACCTCGGTCAATTCTTTCTGACACTGCCCGGTAGCAGATGTTTCAGAGAAAGGTGCAAATCTACACTTTTAGACTTACCGGCCCAGAGAGAAAGCGCCTTTCCATCCTGAAGTCAGCAGTTAGCTTAGTCCTTTTCACTGGAACTTTGAATGTTCTTATTATCCCTCTTAGAACAGTTTAGACCAAGAGTATACAACTTGTCTCAGCATTATGCATCTCTTCCCCTTCCCTCTTAACCCTGAGGTCAGGTACAGACGTTACACTTTTACTGGTATAAATGATCCAAAACCAGTTTATACCCATAACAAAACAGAAATTTTTTGTTGGGGGCATCTACATGTTCCCCTGTAGCGATGTTGTTACTGTGCCATGCTTTAGTATTTCCTTTTGGACATACTAAAGTACAGCACAGTAACTACCTGTACTAAACTGTACATATGACACATGGTTATTTTTAGCAGCTCCATCACCGTAGTGGTGTGCTATAACAAGGAATGTACCACTACAGTGAAGTAGCTGCTGGTCACGTGTAGACACCCTACATTTTCGACCTGGAGGGATGTGGGCAGTGGGGTTCCGCAGGGCTCAGGCTCGCACTGTTCAACATCTTCATCAGTGACTTGGACGAGGGGGTAAACAGCACCCTGTTCAAACTTGCTGATGACACTAGGATGTGGGGGGATGTGGGCACGCTAGAAGGGAGGAATAGGCTGCAATCGGACCTAGACAGGTTACAAGGGTGGGCGGATGAGAATAGGATGGGATTCAACACTGACAAGTGCAAAGTGATGCACCTGGGGAGGAACAACCGGCACCATACCTACAGGCTGGGGAACTCCCTTCTTGTCAGTACAGAGG